TGACAAGCACGCGCGCCGTATAGCAAAACCCTTGCCAAAAAAAAAAAAAAAACTTGGTTACAGCATATCTGCCAATCACTTGTGGTGCCCTATAGGGAGGTACTATGGAAACAGGTGCTGTGAACGTAGCCTTGTGAAGTGCTAAGTCTCTGGGAACATGGGAAGTTAGTGACGCGGAGTCCTTCCAAGTATGGAAATGGGATACTGGATTTAAATATCCTAACTCCTGTATCTGACCAAAAGATATGATTTAGTTGCTGTATTCTGTATTTAAATTTAGGCTCCAAATGAAAAGAAAAAAAAACAGCTTTTACAACTCTAAATCCACTTTCTACTACAGAGAATGGTGACTGAAGCAGAAGTAAAAATAGCTGCTCACACCACAGTTTGAGAAAAATCTAAATCTGAAAATGATCATTTTTATTTGCCTGCTACCAAATAAGGACCTTGGGGAAGCAATGAGTCACCAAGATTCTAGCTTTTTACCAGATTCCAGCATGATGGGAGGGTATTTTTTTTTTCTTTTCTGTTGAGATTTGAATATTCTAAAACGTGCATCCCCCTGATATGGCACTTTAAGTTCCTTTCTGGAAAATGGGCGGAAATTTTACGGCGCCCTTAGGACACTGTAGCCATTTCAGGGCCTGCCACCTCTCACGGGTATGGGAATACCACCTCCCGGCTGATGAGTACCCTGGGCTTTTAAAAGCCTTTCACAGACATCATCTCATTTGATCACATGTGATTCTCACAAAATCCTGGAGGCAAGGTTTGTAAGAGTGTGGCTGTCGTGTTAGAATATCATTGAACTGTGTGTCTTTTTGTAGAAACAGGATGAATCACTACCCGGTAAGAATATTTAAAAAAAAAGAACAAACAAAGGAAAACTGAGAAATGTAGAGATCTAAACTCCCTGTTAACCCGTCACATGGCCTCTGTATACACCAGCTCTCTTAAAGTGCCAAAAACCCAGGAACTGCTTGCAACCCGAGTGCATTTTCTTCTCTCCTGTGCTTTTAGAAGACAGTTTAAAGAGCATTAGGGAATGTTCTGGCCTTCTGTGCTGAAATGTTCTCTGTTGTCTAGTTGTCTGCAGGCTGTGAGAGCGGTCGGTTTGCTTTAAAGAGGCCGAACCACCTTTAAAACAAGCAGGCTTGTATGACGAGTTGACTCATTGTGGATGTGCAGAGATGTTTGCTGAGCTGCTTATCTAAGACGTGAGCGTTCTTCTGTCTCCGCGTGACACAGTCAGAGTTTAAAAGGGAGCGCCGTCTGCTGTGGACGTCTTCGGAAGGCGGTGTGAGAAAAACGTCTCTGCTCTACCGCAAGATCAGCTCTCTGTATCTCCCCCAGGGAATTTTCCTGCATCTTAAGAGGAAATCTGTGTTATCCAAGTTTGCAAGGGCAAAACACTTTGCCAAGAGCCCCCCAAACACAGCTTCCAAAGATGGAAGACATCCCCTCTCCTACTTCCAGTAGCCGGGTTAGCACAGGTTGGCCAGGAGGCTTGAGGCCTGCATCCCCGGAAAGACTGTTTTCTAGAGAGTTGTGGATAATCGCCATAGGTCTGGCATATTAACTTACAGCGGCGAAAGAGGGAAATGTAAGTCAATGAAGAGGACATCTGCTTGGCCCTCCTTTTTCCTGGACCGAGGGGACAGGAGAAGGGGAGTGAAAGGGCTCCCTAGAAAGTCAGGAAGCTGGCACTTCTGTGCCCTGCCCCAAGTGACCACCTCTTTGTTCCACAGTACTCACTGCCTGCTGTTGTCTTGTCTTGTCTTGTCTTGTCTTGTCTTTTCTTTTCTGGAGAGGTTTTTGCTATAGGATGCGTGCTTGCCAACCAGACAGAGAGAGACAGAGAGACAGAAAGTGAGAAATCACCCCCCAGGGGGGATGGTCACACCGCAA